CAAAGAAGCCAACACATTGTGCCGAAATGGAACGAGTATTGACTAGCTACCTACAAACGCGAGCCAGGGCTTAGCGCTTTCGCGATCAAAAGCAACATACCCATACATAGGTACATACATAGGTATATACAGCTGCCGGACATTGGTCACGTGACCACATTTTCCGTTTGACCTTGAGTTGGCACCAGATTTTGTCGGCAGATGTGGCGCAGCTTACTTTACTGCATTATTTTAGATACTAAATATTTAAACGTGTGGTGGTTAATGATACCGTGCAAATAATATTGAATCATCGGTGACATAGTTACCATTGAAACTTGAAAAGCATCAATAAAATATAATTTAACTATTATTACTCTTCCATTGATTGTATTGTGTTTGCAGGCATAGGTAGAATAGAAACTGAAGAGCTGAGCCTGCAGCTTACAGTCGTTCTATAACTCTTATTGCATAAATCAAGGCTACTGAGGGCTGCAAATTTGTTTCACTTATCTTTAATAGCTTATACCCTACCTTCATCAACCATTATCTGTAAGAATCTTGCATCGATCATCACCAGACTTATCAGTTTTTTTTTTTTACATACCTACCACAGAGTGGGCGGCTACGACTCCCTCGCCCTAATTGAGCTAGCCTCGCGGGAAAAACGAGCATGTGTGCCGTTACGGGACCGGGGACGCAGCGATTGATGCACGGTTTAAGTCTCAGGTCAACTGGTGGCCTCTGAGGGTCAGGTCAAGTGCCCCGAGGGCCAAAATACGATTTCGGGTTTTAAGAAATAACTTTGCCAAAAAACGGCGCAGAGTCGCGATTTTAGTACCATCATGTTTGTCATGCTCCGGTGCGTCAAATGGTACACTTTTGTTTGGGTGGGGTCAACATAAGGTGTTCACATCGGGTCAAAGTCAGGTCAGAGGCACTCAGGTCACGAAGTTGGTCGGAGGAGGTTATATCGTATATAATTCGATTCGGTAGGTCTTCCCGAGTCCATTGGCGACTTTTTCGACTTGCCAGTTCAATTTTATCAGGAGTTATTGACGAAAAAACTTGTGAACTTTTTGACGTCATAAATGACGTCACGCTAGGTTAGGATGCAAAAATGAAGCATTGGACATTGCAAGAAGTGCATGAAATTGCGATTCCATGTGGATGAGCTAGGTTTAGATCAATCTCTATGGGCAATAATAAACTGTGCAACAATTGAGATAAAATTTCTCGTGAATGGTTCATGTGCTCACAGAATATAGAAAACCTTCACTGGGAAGAAAATCATGGTATAACGGAATTATTCACATATGGAAATAATTCAGTTATACCCTGCGACTTTTTTAATTATCTACACGTGCAATTGCCAGCACACCGCTGCTTGCAAATTCAAGACTATTATGGAAATTAAACCACGTTCCTTCAACATTACGAAACGGCAAAAATATGTCATAATACACAATATACAATAGTTATATACTACAGTATACATTAAGCAATATACAATATACAATCTCAATCAAATGCTATGCATGCAATTTCGTGTGTCTTGCACAGCCTAAAATTCTATCAATGACAATTGACACAATATACAATCTACAATATAGGTACAATCTATAATACACAATATACAATATATACTACGATATACACTAAGCAATATACAATATGCAATATACACTATACAATCTCAATCTAATGCTATGTATGAAACTTCGTGTGTCTTGCACAGCCTAAAATACAAGATCATTGATTTTTTTAAATTAATTTATGGATATGTACACACAAGTTATGTAGGGGCGTACGATGGGCGCTGCAGAAGTGGCCAAGATGAGGTTTGGGTGTTCAAACATGGTTTTTGGTTCCTTATTTCTACGGATTCGGATATTTTTAAATCAGTGTTAGAAAGCCCCCCTTGCCCTGCTGGCGCCAAACGCTGTGCCACATGCGAATCAGGGCTTCCAGGCCGCTGCCACATCAAAAATGCCGTCTACAAAATTTTATGTAAACTTTGTGACGATAAAGCTGCGATTTACAATGCATCCGGGAATCTGAACATCCGGGAGTCCGGACCGCGCCGGGGACAGGGAGGTGGGCGTGACCTGTGATTGTGGCGGGCACGTGGGTATGACCTGTTGTTGGGCCATATTCCATCCAATCGGAAACAGCGAGGGCGGCCGCGGACTAGTTTTGTGGGCCAGACTGGTTTTGCTAGTTGTGAGCGACACAAATTTAGACAGGTGAAGCGCCGCACTACATTACACTGGTCAGTGGTCACTGACACCGTGTGAGGATAAAACATTGAAGCGGGGGTTCGGGTTGGAGACGCTTTCACGCCCGCTTCTGGCTATGCTCCTGGATCGGCCAAAGTCCACTGAGCGACAGTCAGTAAGTGGCGTATGATAGATCGTCAAACAACGTTATCCCGTGCCCGGTTAGGCGGGAGGGGGAAGAAACGTCCCATGCCCTCTTTTTTCTCTAAACCTCCTGAACAAAGGCTGCCACGAAACTTTATATACACTTTCTGCATTCATTCTGGCACTCAGGACAAAAGGAAAATACGGAGATCCCAACAGGGCGGCCGGAATCGACGTCAGAGGGACGCCATAATCAGTCAATTTTGGTGAAAAACTGTCCTCTTTAGGTCACATCTGAAAGAAATACGCAGAAAGAGAGTTGATAGGGCTATGAAATGCGCTTTCCTGCGACGTTGTAGCTCTATTGGTTCCCGAGTTATGCGTCGACTTCTTTTAAAATTTTCGACATTCGACCTGGAAGTCGGCGAAAGTTGGCCATCTTTGACCTCTAGTGACCTGATCTTTGACATGACCAAAAAGTAATCAAAGTAGTTTCGTCTTTATTTTTAACGCTCTTTCGAACGCCGCCTGCTGCGTATCGCAGCGTGGCCCAGGAGCCGAGTTAGAAGAGGGTGTTCAAACACCTCCCTCCCCCAGCAGGGCGTGGAAATCTAGGACCCCCAGTGGGGCGTGGGTTAGTGAAATACACGTAAAACAATTAGCGAAATGATTAGTCCCAAGTGTCGTCGAATTTCGTCCCCTTCAGTGCGACTGGCCGTCATTCTTGGAGCTTTGGAAGGTAACCAGCCGATCGCTAGGCGTGACAGGGCAAGGACATACATATATGGCCGCCGGGCGGGGCCAGCGAACCAAGCAGACTGCTGTGAGTCGCCTGAACTCTGGACTCAGTCGCCCAAGCCCGAGCTTCTATCATTCAGACAATGTCGCATTCTGGAATACTACCCACGGAGGACAAATGAAAATAATAGTTTCATCACGATGCCCAATCATTAGCCGCGTTTACATAGGGCTAGTTGCCAGATAGTGGAATTCCACTAACGAGACATTTTTTCCACTAACGAGACATTTCAGGCACCTTCAGATAATTCTGACGACCTATCCGGCCAGAAGGACCAAACCGATTGACAAAAATAAATGCATCGTGGCGGATGAATACTTCAGGCCTAGACATAGTATAGATGTCGCAACTCGCGGCCTTCCCGGCAGTAAGGGCGAGGTATAGATGACGCTACTGCAGCAAGTCACTGGAACGTGGGAGTCGTGGAATGGAACGGAAGATACGGAACGGGGGCTTCTTAACGGAAGCTTATTCGTTTTATTTTCATTTAAGAATTGATTTCGTGCGCTAAGGAAAGAACATTGTCTTCTTTTTCCTTACGTCTGCACCCCCCCCCCCCGTCCCTTCCATCCTTTGGATCAGCCAGTGTGCAGCAAGAGGGTTCATCGGAGAAAAACAACAAAGAGCAATCCTCCCTGAGCCTGTCAGGTCAGAAATAACCTGAGCATAGGCGGCGGAACGGGGAGGGCACCGGGGCACCGTGCCCCTTTGATTTTGGCATTTTAACATTAGCCCTATGGGCGCTGCATGGAAAGAATGGGACCAAAAGTCGGCGGTGCCCCCCCCCCTTAATTGAAGGTGCTCCGCGGCTACTGAACCTGAGGACCGTTCGTTATGCCCTACTGCCCACGCTTCTTAAAATTTCAGTAGTAGTCAGTCATCTGGCCAATGTTTCCGTATAGGGGTTGGCAAACACAACTGAGCCTCGTGAGTGGGATGAGTACTGGACACAGAAGTGGACAATCTGTTGGCAAGGAGCCCGCAAGGATAATATCTCCAAACTCAGGACTACGCATACAAACACTTTAAAAGCATCTAAATCTATACTATAATCGAAAGCCGCATTGTTGTGAACTACCGGCACGTGCGTCCAATCACCATCAAGAACGGAGTCCGACCTACAGCAAGCACGACAGTCCGATCATAGATGTATTGAAAAATAACTAGCAACTTTAAACATCGCCTTCCTCAGCCACGCTCTACTCGTACACCGCATCACATAAGAAAACCGCCAATATCGATTACAAAACACACATAAAGGAATTTCGTAGGTATAGATCAGAGGAATACTTCACCTCCTTTATCTGGCGCGTCAATAGGTATAAAGTAATCTTTGGCGTCTACGCACTAGCAACATCTATAATGCAAACAGCAGTTCAGAAACCATCCACTAAAATTGTAACAAGGCAAGGGTTGGTCAAAATAAATTATAGTCACCGTGATAAATAGCAAACAAAATACAGAACAAGCACAACAAAGCATTCCACACTCGTTTAGACTGTACCTACAATATGCCTACATAAGACATTGCAGCAGTGTACAAGGGAAACATTCTTTAAAGATGCTAACGTGAGGAGTTTTAAAAGTTTGGTGAATATAGTTACGAGTCACTGCACAAGAAATGTCGCGGTCGCCAGCCGGCCCAGGCGAAAGAGTCGACGGAGACGGCGTCAAACAAACCCGAGAGGGGGTAGTTTCATCCGCATCAGCGGAGGCGCTCTCTCTACCAAGGTCGTCAGTTACCAGCCGCAGCACCCTGCTGGCGATTTGATAGCGGCTCTCATTCTCAGCTGGCTGAGCGCCATGTGCCGGGTCATCCGGCTCCATGATTTCCCCTTTCATTAGCAGCTGCTGTTGTAGTTATTGTTGTTGCGTTCCTTTCAGCCGCTGCCGCAGCATAGCCGTACGGTTCTGGATGGTTCTCACGGCGGCAGCCAGGGTCACCAAATCCGTCTCCCCGTAGCCACACCAGACTCGGGAAAATGTACCGAGATGTACCGAGCCAATGTTGCAGCACTCGCGGCATTCATCGGTAGGACTCCGCCCAACCCAATGTCGGCACTGGCAGGAGCCCGACCAGTGGTCCAAACGAAACTGATGAAAATCGACAGCTGATGAGCGGTCCTCCACTGACGCCGGACGGGTGGCGACGGCGCGGCCGGTCCTGGAGCTGGAACAGCAGAATGGACCGGCCGGGACACGCGGCTCATCAGTCCATTCGTGCTGCTACTCCCCGTAGACCCCAGCTCCTTCGCTGCAAATTCTCGCGTCTGCCGACCCGTCCGTCCACACCCACGCGGCTCGATAGGGGAGGGGAGGGCAGATATCGTTACGTCGCTTGAAGCAGTTCAGCTGCCGAGGCTCTTTGTCGCAACACCGCCAGCGCCGCGCATCGCAGCAGCACATACCGTGGAGTGCCAGCCTCTTCGCGGCAGACGCGGCATCGGGCAGCAGGGCACTCCACGTCGTTGCATTGTGGGCATCCGGCCTCGGGAGGCGGCCGATGCAGAGCAGGTACTGGCGGATGTCGATAACGACTGCACGGTCGGCCTCCAGGACGGAGCCAGGACAGCGGTCGACCCATATCGACCGGTACCATCCGTCCGGCCAGTTCCGCTGCCAGGCGCGCGCAGCGTCGCGCGCGCGCCTGCCGTGGCGCGCCTGTCGCGCGCGCGCGCCTGCCTTGCAGAAAGTGCCCACGTCGATCGGCGCTACCGTTGGGATAGACGGCGGTCGACCCATATCGACCGGTACCATCCGTCCGGCCAGCTCCTCCAACACCGCTCTTAGGGCGAATAGCTCGCCGCGCGTGCTAAAGCAGAGGGCGCCTGCCGCGACACGCACCTGTTGTTGTTGTTGTTGTAGCTCCCTCCGTCCCTAGCGGGACGTAGCCGTCCGGCTCAGGAGCGACCTGTACGCGGTCACTATGGCCGCCATGATGTCGCTGCTCCGGACGTCCTCCTCTCTGGGGTGTATGGATCCCAGCAGTCTGAGTCTAGTGGAGATTAGAGCCGGGCAGCGCAGCAGGACGTGCCTTGGGGTGTCTGCCTCCTCCCGGCATACTAAGCAGCGGGCCGCAGGGCAGCTGTGGTCCGGACACTGCTCGCACTGCCGGGAGGGCGCCAGCCCGACTCTGTGACGCCACTGGTTGGAGTTGGACCAGTGGCCCGCTCTCAGTTGGTGGATATCCACCGCGGTCGACCGGTCCTCACCCGATACTGGTGGTGGGAGTCGGCCGCCCATCAGGTCTCTGTACCACCCGGCCGGCCAGGCCTGGGCAGTACGGGCGCGCGCTGACCTGGCTGCGGCGCGGTGGATGGTGCGGACGTCCACCATGGTGTCCTCCTGGTCGAGGGCGCCGGCCTCTCCCGCGAGTCGATCGGCTTCCTCGTTGCCGCCGAGGCCGCAGTGGGATGGCACCCACTGGAGGTGGATTCTGCGGCCACCCGTCGTCAGCCGGCGTAGGGCGTCCCATATCTCGGAGCCGAGCGGGGAGCTCTGGGCCGCTGGCCCCTCTCGGAGCGCCGCTAGTGCGGACTGAGAGTCCGTGCATATGACGACGGGGTCTTCCGTATGCGCGGGGTGTTCCAGCAGGTGGTTGAGAGCCGCCCGCAGGGCGACCATCTCGGCCCGGTAGCTGGAACAGATGCGGCCGGCCGGTGTGCGGATCTCCGCCGTCTCGTCGTCCGGCCACACGATGAGGGCGCCGGCGCCTCCGTTTGTGACCCCCTCCGTGGCGGAACCGTCTGTCCAGACCCACGTGGCACATTGTGGGAGACCCGCAAGGTGGTGTGACGCGGCGTCTCTTCGTTGTTCGTCGGTTGCTGACGGTGGTAGTGCAGCACCGACGTCGAGGCAGAAGCTGACTGGTGGGGGCGGCTCCCATGGCGCGGCTGGTCGGGGGAGTAGCGGCTCGATAGCGATCGGCGGTGTGATGCCCGCCTCCCTCCAGGCCTCCTCGCCGACTCCACGCCAGCTGGACACCGTGCTGAGGCGGGAACGAACCTCTCGGTCCGCGACGGTACGGAGCGGGTCGTCCTCCGGCAGGGCGCGCGCCTTGGCCAGCAGCCGCGCCGCTAAGGCCGTGCGGCGCTCAGCCACCGGGGCGAGTCCCGCCTCCGCCATCAGGGCATGTGCCGGGGTGGACCGGGGGCATCCGGTCACCCCGGATGGTCACGACACGCACCTCTCGGATGTCGCGGTTCAGGGGGGGGGGGTGGCCCCTCCTCCTCCATCTAGCACACCATCGGTGGCGGAGCTGTCTGACCAGATCAAGCTCGCCTCAGACGGGAGCTCCGCCAGACGACTTTCCGCCGCCTTGGCTCGCCAGCCGTCGCGCCCAAACTCGCTTCAGGCCGTGAGTCTATAGCCGGCGCGGTGGCGTGGCTTCGTCATGGTAGCCTTGGGCGGGTTGTCCTCAGAGAACGCATTCGCATTGGCGAAGAGGCGAGCAGCGCCACGAGTCCTGAAAAGACCAAACAATATCAATAGACAATCAAAATTGTAAAAATTGGCATTAACTGCGCAACTGATGTTTGCTTGTTTGTTTACTAGGGTTTACGGGCGCTGCGGTGGTCATTTTGCACCCATGAAGCTGTTCTGGTGAACCTGCCCAACTGAGCAGTGATCATGCCATAACTTATGTTTGGCGTAGTGGCAGGGTTCCACCTAAAATTTCGGCGCACGTCAGGTGTAACGTCACATGCGACAAATTCAGCGCATGTCAGTTGGGCAAACTAAGGCTGATGGAATAATATAAAACGAGGGCACCAAAAATTGATCCTAAATGACCATACTTGGACATTAATGCAGACCCTCTCTGTATCACCAATTGTCAGAAAACAAGCAGGTGTTTCAAGGACGTTAGAGAGTTATGAAGCCAGGATAAAACACAGTGCTATTTTCTCAAAACAGTTTTTACATGATAGAGTTAGGTAACTCTCTCTCTCTCTCTCTCTCTCTCTCTCTCTCTCTCTCTCTCTCTCTCTCTCTCTCTCTCTCTCTCTCTCTCTCTCTCTCTCTCTCTCTCTCTCTCTCTCTCTCTCTCTCTCTCTCTCTCTCTCTCTCTCTCTCTCTCTCTCTCTCTCTCTCTCTCTCTCCGTTTACCATTCGCAAGGCCAAAAAGCCCAATTGGTTTTGAAAGACATTGGATTACAAGCTGAGATTTTTTTACTTTATCATAAAATGTTAAACCTGCGTGTAGATGAAGCCTGAATGGTGGTTTGTAGGCTGATAGGTTGGAGGTTGAAGGTTAGTAGGGAAGGTAAGTTCAGGATAATTTCTGCTTTTTATTTTCATTGGACTTCAGTCTTAATCAACACACGCATCAAAAATATCATCTATTTGAGCATCTTCAAGCCTCAATATACAGCAAGTTGTACAACAAATTAAAAATTGATGTCATGCCAACATATGGTCATGATTTTTACCACCAGAATTGAATTAAATGCCTATTGATGCTTTACCTAATATTTTGAAGCCTGAAATCTGATTAACCAAACATTTTTTTTCTTGTGTTGGCAGTCTAAAATTTGGCTGGCTTGAGCGCGATGCTATTGCTCTAGCAGAATCTCAAACGGATGTCTACCAAGTGCCACTCCCAAGAAAGTTTTTCAAGATTCTAAAACCACAAACTTAGTTGATGCCTGATCATGTGATGGTAAATCAAATACCTAATAGCACTCCATCTGAGGCCAGTTTTACAAACAGAAAATAGCCACCTGCCGGATTATTTTGCCTAAAGGCTAATTCACATATGGAGTATAAATGGTGAAGCCCTCCCTGCTTACCTACATGCCTATCGCGTTTACCCTCTGTATGTTGTACCTACGTGGAATGGATATATGAGGAGAAAAATTCCAGGCAGCTATTTTTGTTGGTAAATCGGGTAAAGTAATACTGGCCTCTGAACGAAAATTTGGACTGAGTGAGATCTGTCGTTTCTTTGGTGGTTTGGATAGGAGTTGATGATTTTAATTGGAAGATTAAAAGGAAAGGGTTTCAAGACAATCGGCATGACAAACCAACACCTTACCTGCAGTTCAAGTTTGTCGATTTCTTCATCAAAATCTAGTCTTCGTCTAATCCACAAATCAAGATAAAATTACTGGATAGGTACAACTTCTTCTTCTTCTCCTTCTGCACCTCACCTGCCACCCCCTACACTTCTACCTTATTCTGATAAATATCTTTACATAATTTTCACAAGAATGCCACTCAACGGGTTACGGGGTAGATATAAAAGAGTGCAGGGCTTCAGTTTTGAGCTATAGAGTTCTCAGTGATTTTGAGACACCCAATATGTCTTTGGCACGCCGTATTTGTCTCTCACCGCCTGCGAATTCGGCGATATGATTGGTCGAAGGCCGAGGCTATGGGTCCAAGAAAAGGCCAAGATTCCTGCCAAGATTCTTACAGATAGCCAAGGCCGATGACTGACGTGACTGACGGCATGTTACTGCCCTTGGCATATTGCCAATGCACTGCTCCGTCATATCCGCAGTAATGTCAACAGTCATATCGGAAGTAATATGGTAGCTATACGCAAAAACCATTTGGTGTATGGCTACCATACTTTTCCGATAACGAGACATTCTAGATCAATCTCTCTACTGTTGGCGACATCTGCTGAGAAATCCCAAGACCGAACGCAAGCACATAAAAGTAATGCACTCTATGGATGCGTTCGAAATCTGGGAAGTGACGGATTTCATTTCTCAATGCGTGTCCCAGCCTTCCCCATGCTGTTCGTTCCGCCTGCCGCCATCTATTGCCATGTTTCGCATTCGCACTTCATGAATTGACCACCCCGCCAAGTAGGTTGGTATCAAGTTGGTATAGGTGTCGCATTGCTCTGGTCGATCAGGCTGAGCCAGCTGTCTGGAGAGTGGAGCCGATCAAAAAAAAAAAAAAAACGCAGAAATTCAAAAGACCGACTCCAAAGCAATGGCAGCATGCATATCAATAGAACGTAATTCTGTCATGATTGCGTCAGAAGCAAACATAATGGCAAGAGTTTCTTGTGTGTCGGTAGGCGCGTGTGGAGCCGCTGGACCGACCGGGGACGTACAGAAGGGGGGACGGACGGGGTGCGCCTCCCTGTAGGGGTTTTCAGGGCCCATGCTGGCAGAAGGCCCACGTTGGCCAAAATCACGTCGGAGACGAACGAAATTCATGGGAATCCCCAAAAAATTACGTCAGGACAATCAAGGCTCTCCGACTCGCCTACCACCTAGGGTCCTTCAATTTACTACATGGGGCCTCCTGTGAATAACCGCTAGTGTCTGTGTCTGACCACTAGGGCCCCTCTGACTCCTCGGGTAGAGGGCCCTCTGTAGGTAGGAGGCTCTCTCTACGGGATTCCTCCGCTCCCCCCCCCCCCCTCGGCCAAATTCTGGGTTATACGTGCCTGCGCTAAGCCGGAGTCGGAGAGAGGAGTTGACGACCGAATGACAAGGAGTACTCGTCCTGAAAGTAAACATTTGGAATACAAACAATCCAAAGCTGTTCAGTATTTATTAGTGATGTCAATTATAGAAAATATGAATACCAATTCCAAACCAAATACCAACATAAACCGTGAAGAAATACCGATACCGAACCAACTTCATAACATGAGGGAAATACCGACTTTTAACCAATTTCTCAGCCTCTTATACATAAGTGAGGGTTCATAATACCAACAAAATACCAAGTACATTAGGATTGAAATACCAAATACCAAGTTGGTATCGGTTTGGTATCGGTATACCAAAAAATTGGCATCCGATTGACATCTCTAGTATTTATATCATTCGAGAGCAGTGCCTTCAATTTGGATACACTTAGCATTCATTTCCCACACCCGTGTACACTCCACGAAGGCTTCTCCGCTGCGGACTCCCGCTTCCGCCGATGCGTCAGTTCTGTTATGGTCGGTAGTGGCGATTAACACGGCGATATCCCTGGAGCGACACAGGACGACCGAAACACGATGGCGGCGACCATGGAACTGTTTATTTTTTATGTGCTTCCATATGACCGGGGGGTGAGACCAAATGAAGGGAAAGGAAAACGTGCCCCATCACAACACCCCCCCCCCCCTCAAGACGCATGCGTCGGTACAAGATACGCATTGCGTCTACGGTCTAACACATAAACAAAAATGTACACCACACACAGTGTGGACGCACGAACTCAGTCGTACGTCTGGTCCGCCCAGCGCACGGTCAGTCGGGCCGGACGGCGACGGCGGCGCGTCCCACGGCGCACTGAGCTGGGGTCGTCGGCGCTGTTCCGCAGTACCGGTGGTGCCGGCTGTCCGCCCGCCGGCGCAGCGGCGGCGGTCTCCTCCGTGCCGTCGGGTGCCGAGCTCGGAGCGAGCTGCTGCCGGCGCCCGGGTGCAGGTGTGGCGGCGCCCTCCGAGATGAGAGATCTCTGGGGTCGCAGATGGCGCTGGTTCCGCCAGTAGACTCGGCTACTGGGCAGTCGGACCAGGTAGTCGCGCCGCTGTCCGACCGCCGTGATGACGCCGACGCGGTCCCACAGCCCCGACCGCGGGTCTTGGACGAGCACACGCTGACCCATGGTGAGCGCGCTGTGCTGGCGGGCTGTCGTGTCGTACCGCTCGGCTGTTTCCTGTTGCTGCGCGGCGGCCCTGGCGTCACAGTCGTCCGCCGTCCGCAGTCGGCGAAGGACCGGTGGTGCGCCGGCACTGCCGATCTCAGCGGGTGGCCGAATAGGACCTGAGCCGGAGAGCGGCCGTCGGCGCGCGGCGTGTTGCGCAGCTCCAGCAGCCCCTGAGCGTAGGCGTCCGTGTCGAGCTCACCGCTGCTGGTCGCCTTCTGGATGAGCCGTTTGGGGGCCTTGACCGCCGACTCGGCGTGCCCATTAGACTGAGGGTAGTGCGGTGTGGAGATCTGGTGCTCCACTCCCCAGCGGCGCAGAAACTCTCGGGTGAGCCGGGCGGTGAACTGGGGTCCACCGTCTGTCCGGAGGGTGGTGGGCACGCCGGTGGCCGCGAACATCTGGCGCAGGCTGCAGACCAGGTCTCTGGCAGTCGCCTCGCCGGCCACGTGCGACACAAACGGCCACCCGGACAGCCGGTCCGCGTATACCAGGAACGTGCGGCCGGCCCAGGCGAAGAAGTCAGCGGAGACAGCCTCAAACACTCGTGATGGCGTCTTTTCCGGCATCAGCGGCTCCTTCTGCTGACTGGGCAGGTACTGCTGGCAGGCCGGGCACGCTCCGACATGGTTCGCAATGTCACTGTCCAGGAACGGCCAGTAGACTACCTGCCGCGCGCGGCGTTTGGTGCGCTCGACGCCCTGGTGACTGGCGTGCAGGCGCTCGAGCGTGGCGCGCCGCAGACTGGGCGGTATCACGAGCCGCTGGCCGCACACCACCAGGCCGTCATCCACGGCCAGCCGGTCCCGAACTCCCCAGTACGGTCGGAGGCGCGGGTCCAGCTGTGACCGGTGCTCTGGAAACCCGTTCAGGATCAGGTCAGTGAGTGTGATGAGCTCCGGATCGGCGGCGGCGGCGGCGCGCACCTCTGTCAGCGCCGCGTCTTTGAACGGGCTGGGACTGTCGTCCGCCCCGTCGGTGGCCAGCCGTGAGAGCACGCTGGCGAGCTGATGGCTGGCGTCCCTCTCGGCTTCCTCGTCCTCAGGCGCCGGGTCATCCACCGGCGCGCGCGACAGCGCGTCCGGGATGGCGTGCAGCTTGCCTTGCCGCCAGGTGGCGAGCAGGTGGAACGGCGCCAGCCGTTCTCGTAGCCGCTGGAGCCGCGGATTTTCGATCTCCGCAAGGCTCTTACTGTTGAGGATCGGGATGAGCGGCCGGTGATCGGTCAGGACTTCAAACCGCTGCATCCCGCCGAGATAGATGCTGCATTTCTTGCAGGCCCAGGCCAGGGCCAGCAGCTCCAACTCGATCACGGCGTACCGCGACTCGGCGTCCGATAGGAAGCGTGAGCCGCACTGGATCAGTCGCCACCGGCCTGCGGCGTCTTGCTGCAGCAGGCAGTAGCCCAGGCCGCCGGAGCGAGCGGCGTCAGTCTCAGGACTGTGCGGCGGCGAGGGTCGAAGAAGTCGAGCACGGGAGGCGACGTGAGTGCCATCTTCACCGCGCTGAACGCCTGCTCGTGCGCTGGCGTCCACAGCCACGCGTTCCGCGGCCGCAGCAGCTGTCTCAGCGGCTAGGCGGCGGCGGCGACCTCTGGGGAGAAGGCGCCGAGCTGGGTCACCAGGCCGAGGAACGACCGTAGGTCGGTGATGTTGCCCGGCCTGGGGAAGGCCTGGATGGCACGGACTTTCTTGCCGTCGGCGGTATAGCCAGCCGAATTGATGCGAAAGCCGCAGAATTCGACCTCGTCTTCCGCGAACTGACATTTGTCCGGGTTGAGTGTGATACCGTGCTGGTCACACCTCAGCAGAATCTGCCGCACGTGCTGCAGGTGGGCGGCGTAGTCAGCGTCATAGGCCAGGACGTCGTCCACGACCTTACACGTGCGCGGGATGTCGCCGAGCGCGGCGTCACCGCGCTGGTTGTACACGTCGCCAGAGCTGACGATTCCCATTGGAGCACTCAGGTACCGGTAGCGGCCCCACGGCGTGATAAAACACGTCAGGTCTCTGTCTTCTGGCCGGATGGGGACCTGGTGGTACCCCGCCTTGCTGTCCAGCTTGGTGAAGTACGCAGCGCCGGGTGAGACGAAGGCGACTGCGTCTTGAGGCGAGCGGACCGGGTACGTCGGTCGCTTCACGAACCGGTTCAGTTTCGTGAAGTCCACGGTCAGCCGACAGCCGGACACTGTGCCGTCTGACGACCCCTTGGCCACAGGAACGATCGATGACACCAGTCTGTGGGGTGCTCCACCGGCTCGATGATGTCCTTTTCCATCAGCTCGTCGAGTTGCAGTCGCACGTCCTCTCGCCAACAGAACGGGATATTCCGGGCGGTGGTCACAGCGTGAGGGACGGCGTCGTCCGTCAGCTCGATCTTCATCGGCTCCCCCGTCATCTTCCGCAGGGTCGACTTCGTATCGAAGACCCTCGGGAACTCGGCTTTCAATTTGCCGAAATCTGCCCGCCGCTGCCGTGCGGAGGGGGTGCCACCGGCGGCCGGGCCGTGCGCGCGGCCGGGCGGCGGCGCGCGCGTAGGGCCGGGCGGCGGCGCCCGTCCGGTCGGGTCGGCGCCGGCCGAGCTGGCGGCCGGCCGGTCGGCGGCAGAGACGCGGCTTAGGTCCCGGGTCTCCTCAGGTGCCGCCGTCGTGCCGCTGCAGCGCCGTAGTGAGGGCTGGCTGCCGGCGGCGGGGGCCTCAGGCGGCTCGCCGGGCGGCGGCGGCTCCGGTGCCCCACCGTCCGTCCCAGTCTCGGCTGCCGAGCCGCGCTGGCAAATCTGCCGGGGAAAGCTCGCCGGTAGAATTCCCAGGCCGATACAATCGTGCCACGACAGCAGTGGTGAGTGCAGTGCTCGCAGAACGGACACCTGCACGGTCTGTATGACGTCACCGAGCTGCAGGGTGAGGGCGCACGTGCCCACACAGTCCAGCCGGCGGCTGTCGGCGGCCCACAGCACAGCCGTGGAGGGCGTGAGGTCCGCTCTGCTCACTCCCACGGACTCGGCTTGTTGCAGTGAGAGGGCTGATATCGCGCCGGTGTCGGGCGTCCATACGGTCGACCGCCTGACTCCGTTTGGTAGGTGCAGCTGTAGCCAGACCTGCGGCGACCGGTGGGCCGTCACACTGTTGAGGCGCGCGCCCGGCGTCCGGGCTGCCGGCGGCGCTGACTGCTGCCGGTTCCCCGTGTCTCTCGTGGTTGCATTCGCTGCCAGCACCGAAACCTGCCGGTGCGACGCGTCGGCAGCCGTGCTGACACGGCGGCGGCTGATTGCGCTACGGTGGCGCCGGCCCCTCCCCTGGCGGCTGCTGCTCGCGCTACGGTGGCGCCAGTCCTGTCCCTGGTGGCTGCGCTCGGAACTAGGCGTCTGCCGGCGCCGCTCTTCAGTGCCCGCGCCATGCCGGCAGACCGAGGAAAAGTGGTCCCGTTCGTGGCATCGGTGGCAGGTGCGAACCAGGGCGGGACAGGCACGACCGTCCGTGTGCTGCGCGGCAC